CAGAACAACAAGAATAAGGGTAAGAAGGAAAAGAAGAGCAAGGGACAGCGCAAGGCCGACAACAAGAAGGAGAAGGATAAGAAGCAGAAGAAGGATAAGAAGACCAAGAAGGAAAAGAACAAGAAAGAGAAGAACAAGAAAGAGAAGGATAACAAGGACAAGGATGGTCCGGATGAGAAGGAGATCAGGAAACAGAAAATGCGAGAAGCCAAAAAGGCACTGCTTTTCATCATGTAGTACTGTGGTTGGTTCCCAAACTGTGCCTCCAGATGTCCCACGCAGGCAACGGACGCAGCTGGTCGCAAAATCAAGGATTCCATCACTGTCCTCAAGTATGCTGAACATTTGTCAGCGCCCCAAAAACCCTTTTTCGACAGATTCAACCGATCAAGTCTTCCCAACAGTCTCATCCTAACGATCGATCGATACCTGAGGAGTGCCAATCTCCGGAGTGCAGTGAAGACCGACATCCAGGCAAGAGGACGATCGATCTAGTCTATCAATCTTGCCCACAACAAAGCAAAACATAAATACGCATAGCATAAACAATAGTAGATCCAACACTGCAGAGTGAGTCCAGCACTTTTTTTTGTAGGAGGGTTTTCCTTGATTGGTTGCTTTCGTAGGCCGCAGTGAGAAACATGTCCTCGTCCCGTGCCAATTTGCAAGCCGCTCTGGATGCGGACCAGGCGCTGCTAGCAAGCATCGGTGGATCAGGGATCGATCATCTAATCAATCCGAGTCCTGAGATGGTCGTTCATCCAACCGATGGATACACCAAAAAACAATCAGGTCTGCACAGGTCATGTCATGAATATGATGCATGGTCCAGAATGTGTCATGGTCATCGATTATCAACCTGTCAAGGTTCCGGTGTATATATTATGACTCTGCGCATATTATATGGCTGTTTGCCTCCCCCGCTGCAGGCCGACAATGTCGAGCAGCTGACTTCGGGGCTGGTCACAGCAATGCAGGCCTTTGATCAAGCTGCCAAGCCTGCAAAGCAGGAAGGCAAAAAGCTTGCGTAAGTTCTCAGCTCATCTGAGCCTATTGAGCCTATGTTGGATTATGTTGGATTCCTCCCGGGGCAAAGTCACTGACTTTAGGGGTTTTGAGGAGTTCTTGTTCAGGCTGGCTGCCTTAGGGGCCCTCCTCGTGGGATGAAGCTAGTTTATCAACCAGCTACCACTTGATTATAACCAGGCATGTCTTTGTAGTGAGGATGGGTCTGGCAGTGTTAGCTTGCCAAGCTTAGTTGCATCCTAGACGCTGAAGAAGGATCAGCGAGAAGTGCCATTTCATGGCTGGCAACCGCGCTTCGTGCCAAAAACGATGTGACCATGTGAGTGATTTCAGTACGTATATACCCTAGGAGTCCAAAGACTATTTTGACCGACTAAAGTAAAAGGAAGTTCCTTTTTGGGGCACCTAAAGACCCATACTGACCCATATATGCATACATAGTCTTTGACTTTTAGGGTATACATGTTCAGTACCAAATTCAGCTGCTTCAGAAAACTTGGTGAGTTGGTACACGCAAGCATGCCATGATCTCATGCATGGGCTCCTGAGCTCAATGCATGCTTGCTTTGAGCCACAGCCGAATTCACCTGTTCGCCAGATTCTGACACCGACAATGATCAAGATGCCATCGGTGAGGATATGATGAGCAGAGTAGCTGAGCAGGTGCTTGCTTCATATTTTTGGGGTTGAACAGTTGGTTGAAATAATTTTTGGGGTTTGGTTGGATTAGCAATTCTGTTCTTAAAGCTGCAGGTGCACAGCATCAATTCAGTACTATCTTCGGCAAAGGCGAGTTGTAAGGAGACACTCACGTGACAGTGTGCTGATTTTTTCTTGCATTGATAATTGATATTATATAATTCGCCGAGTACAATCCTGTGCAGGAATCCAAAGGGCACGTGTCTGAGAGTGTGACACGGCTTGGTAAAGTCAGTGCTTCTAACCGAGCACGTTCGTTTTGGAAACACGTGCAATTGCCTATTGAACCACAGTTGCATTAAGAGTACTTGTTACATTTTGGGTCAACAGTTTTTTAATGTTGATCAAGTTAACTTAACGCTGCACTGGACCAGTGACAATGAGGAACCAGCTTGGATTGAGCTTCCGGTGCGCGACTTGGTGGAACCTACTCGGGTGACCAGCATGGAAGTGCCATACTTGGAGCCGCACAAGGTATTAAGCTTCATGAGTTCCATCCTGAAGACTCCAAGAAGTCATATTGATTTTTACTGGCGATGGGGCCAGCGGTTTGGTTGTCAATGGGCAAAGCTGGGGAATTCTGACATTATTCCTTGCGGAATGCATGCTGACGAGGCAAAGTATCGGGATGGCCCGCCGCAGGAGAAAATTTTGGCTATCACATTGAACTTTTGCTTGCATCGGCCGACTAGTATCAGGCACTCGAGATTCGTGATCTTCACGCTTCGCAGTTGCCTTAACATTGGGCCAACTACCATTTATCCACTTTTTTGGAAGCTTGTCGAGAGCTTTCATTATGCGTACATGGGCTTGAACCCAGACGGGTCGCAGCTTGCTGGTGGATCTCGGTTCCTGGTTACAGAGTTGAGAGGCGACCTGGACTGGTTCAAACAATGCTGGCAATTTGAGAAAAGGGGGGTGGCAGGCACTGGATGTTTGTTTCTTTTGCAATGCCAAGAGCAAAGGCCGAACGTGTCAGTTTACTGAAACGGGCCCTCAAGCTGATTGGATTTCCACGGAGTTTACAAATACATGGGAGTGGGCAGCAAATGTTCTACCTGACCGACTTTGCACCTTTGACGATGAATTTTTTTGTGGCCGACTAATCGATATCATGTTTCACACTCGTACTCACTCAAGGATGTCATGCGCTGTCATATTAATTTGTTTTGCGGGAATTGCTAGAGTTTAGAGCTAATATATCACAATTTTCTGCCAAGGCCCATTGTTGGCATTGCCGGGCTTCTCGGTGGACACTCTGCGTTTGTGCTCAATGCACAACTTCTGCTTGGGACTACTGCAAACAGCAAATGGATCTTCCCTGCGCTTTGGCCTTTGCAGTCTAGTATGCTTTGGCTTCGGGGCTATGAGTTGTTGGCACAGTCCATGAAAAGGCTAGAGCTCGGAGGGTGTTTGTTTCAGAATTTGTGTTGGATTTATTCTTTCTGAGGATGAATTTAATTTCGAAGGGCTACTATGAGAATCCTAATGAACCCATCCAGCAGAACCTCACCAACGCCTACCATGACTTCAAAGCATGGTGCAAGCATCTCAAAATCTACACGGGCCAAAGGCCATTTTACCCTGGATTGGAACCTACGATGCATTCATGTGTTATTGCAGTACGTTGTTGGTTTAGTTATTTCTCTTAATTGGTACGTTATATTGGCTCAGTACTGCAGCGATCATGCAACATTGCGGGAACATAGCAAGGTCATCAAGGCCAACAACAACATCTCGATGACCCACAAGGCTTTTAACGGCCGAGTGCTTTGTGCCTACTTTGCGGATGTGTCCCGATGCGCGCTGGAAGGTAAATCTCCGCAGGGCCTGAACAGAGTCTTTGGGCGATGGCTTGGAGATCTTGCAGTGGCCCCTGCCAGAGTGGCAGACCCAAAGCTGCCACTTCAGGCTGCGGTGATGTGCCTGGGAGGATTAAACTTGTTGCAGTATGTTTGAAATAGATGGGGGATGGTTGTGTGGTGTCTCCTATTTTTTGAGGGTGAACTTTTCACGTGTCACTGACATAGTTTCGCTACCTGTCAACCGAGTAATTTTTTTTGGCGTGATAAACTCATGATCCAGGTCTGCTGCTGAACGGTGGTGCGGGCTTTTAGAGCGAAGTGGACGGTATTTGAGACTTTGGCTGAAACTTCAGCGGACAGTATTTAACTCTTTGACAGTATTTGTGAAATCGAAGTTAGCAAAACTTGAATAATTTGGGGTTCCCCTCTGTGGCATCCCCCTGGAGTTTGTTGCCTTAAGCTGCGGATGTTTTTTTTGGTTCACGAGGTCGCGGGAGGCATTTTGTGTGGGTCATCGAATGATCACGGCAATCCATTTGAGGCCGTGTTTGGCAATTGAAAAAATCAGAACGGCAGGTGTGAAGTAAATGTTTTTCCGTTCCACATGTTGTAAAGTTTTCACTGAAACCCGAAACCTTCCCGAATAGAAAAGCAACAATGACCGCGTGACCCTTTTTGCAGGGAACAGCAAGAACTGATAGCAGCTGGACAACAACCTGCGGTGCTCCAATGGATATTGAAACCCAAGTACCACAAATTCTTTCACCAATGCAGAACCATGGTGGCTACTCGCATGAATGCAAGACACCAACACTGCTATGTTGACGAAGATTCAATGCGCTACGTCAAGAAGCTAGCGCTGGCAGCCCCTTGTACAGGAAGCGGTGCAGAATTCGAGCGATTCATTTTGAGAATTTCACGTCTCCGAATGAAACTTGCCTCTAAGAGGAACTGTCAGCTGAACAAGTCAGCTGCAAAACGCTCCAGGAGATGAACACGAGTTGCTTACTTTGCTTGCACCTGCTGCAAAACAGAATCTTAGGGTTCTTGTGAACGGCCGTTTGTTTGGAGGATTTTTAGGGTCCTTGTGAACGGCCATATGTTTGGAGGTCCTTATTCCTCGACCTTAAAATCCGAGGTCCTCGGATGTGTAGGGTATATATTTATAACACTTATATAATTGGGCAGTCGCTAGTCTCCCTGGAGGGCGGGAGCACACTGAAGCCTTTAGCTGCTGTGCAGCTTGGGGAGGCCAACGTACGTAGCCTCAGCCCACCCGCGGATCCACAGTTCTCATGGACCAATTCCTGCATCACTGCATCACCCAAACCCGAAAAGACACCACAAGGTTTCAACTACCGCTTTCAACACGTACGCCCAGGACAACCCCTGCTAAACCGCTTGTTTCGGCTCCCCTTAACATGCAAACGGGTGCTCGTTGCCAGCCCTACATCGGACCGTCGGTATCAGGTCCCTGAGCACGGCACAGCGACCTTCACAGTGACCATGACCTGCATGAAAGCCACCCTCACGGCAGCCAACAATTATCGCTACATCTTGATTGGTGACTGCGCCTTGGAATGCTCAGATCGACGGAGGGTGAGGCACATGGTTCTTGTGAAGGGTCGCCCCACACGCGCTACCCCTCAGGTCGCTTCACGGCCGACCGGCAGGAGCGCCTGGCCTTCGCAGCTACCAATCCGGACCAGGACTACGACGACGAGGATGTCCCGCAGCATGACCCCTACGACACTTGGAGATGGAAGGACATGGGTGGCTAGAGTGGGATCTAGCAGCTAGGCTGGTGGCTGGATCTGATCTAAAATCTCCCTAGCAGATTTGCTGGAAGTAGATGATACAAGGATCTTTTTGAGAGGCCTAATTGTGTTCCACTCCTGTGACCCATGTGATTGTTTCAGATTGTTTCAGCGAGTCTCGATGGATTTAGGATGCTGCTCAGGATGAAGATGGATGAAGACTAGGAGGGGCTGGTGGATGTTGTTGTTGGATCATGTGGCTATCATTGGCCCAGATTGAATGGTCGTCGTGATGGGATTGAATGCCTGTGTAGGCCTGTTCATCATATGGGGCGTGCCTTGAATCGGCCCTTTTAACCAAGCTTTCCAATGGGGCCATCCATTGGCGTTCTTGAGGTGGCACCTTCTGTGGACGAAGAAGTGAAAGCACTGCCAGAGACTGGGACAGAGAGAGGTGAATACGTTTAAGTTATTTTAATTTGGTGCTTGGCCGACACCCAAGGCAAGCTTTGGCAAGCTCAGCCTTCCGATTCTTGTATCCAGTACGTGTTTGCAGTTAGGATTTTAGCTGCAAAGATCTGCAAAGTCTTACCCGGTCAGTTGGTTACCCGGTCGGCGTTCATGTAATTCTCATCCAGGCGACATGTGGGGAATGTTCCGTGCAAGGAATGTGCTGCCTTGTTCCGCTGGTATACAGTAATTGAACAAGTCCAAGTCACCCAAGTCGCGACACGATCGTCATGCGTTTTCATACTCTTCTTTTGCTTGGCCTTTGACCAGCAGTGCCTCTTGGCTTGATGAAAGAAGGTGGCAGACTGGTCGGACCGCGGTGAAGGACCGAGAGAAGCACCGGTTCCGGTGAATCCGCAAAAACCGGTCAGGAGATCGAGTTGGATGATGAACACGTGGTGGATGGCGACTCGGACGTGGAGGACGGTGCCACGGCCAAGGAAAAGAAAGAGCTCGCGACTGAGGCTGGAGCCCACCCAAGCTGGTGCCGTTTTCAAGGTTCTGGACTGCTATGGCTATGGTAGGGATGTAGACGGGCCAACACCCATGAAGGTAGTGGAGCAGAGTAGCCTCCAGATCTGAGCAATAAAGGACATTCTTCAGTTGCAGCTGAAGTCGGAGCGTTTTAGTCCACGTGGTCAGGTGCCCCCAGTGATGACAGCTGGCAAGAAGTTCAAGAGACGCACCGCGGTCGTGCCGACCCAGCCGTTGGCAGTGGAGCTTTAGCTTTGATATGCTTTGATATTTGAAGGGGTTATTTTCGTGTGTGGAGGGCGTGCCAGGATTGTTGCGGCACATTATTAATGTTGACGGAGAACATGAGTTGCTTACAAGGCTTCCAAGGATGCAGAAGGCAACTGATTCAAAGGGCGTGTTTAGGGTGCTCATTGGTGTTGCAAACCCGTTTTTGCCGTTGCCAAATTTGTTGAGACTACAATAGGATAAAACACATGTCACACACACATATATATATATATATACATATGATGGGACATTAGCAACGGCAAATCATCTCCAAAATTAATAGTATAACTCGTCTATAACACGTTCCTGCTCAGATCTATCCTTGTTGTTTTGGAACTTGTGACTTTGTTTATTGGAGATGCGTTTGCGATGTTACGTCGATTGAAATGTCCGCAACCTGGCCGTCCAAGGCCAGGCCCGGCACCGAACACTGTTACAATCCCCACAAGGTCACAAGGTGGTTCATATGGACCATATTGGACCCCTATACATATATACACGACATCTTTGGGTTTGTGCCATATGCTCAATCCACTGTACCTTCAGGAACCGCAGCTGGATGTTTTGGCCACCATTGTGATCGACTGCACGGGTGACTGTATTTTGCCTCGACTGACGGTGGACAAGAAGGGCAACCCTGATGTTGAGGAGTTCCCAGCGCAGAACAAGGAGCTTTCAACTATTACCCCAAACAACATCCAAAAAAAAAATCCATGTATGGCATATTATTGCATGGGGTGCTTTCAGGGGTCAATGATAAATATTCCAGTCCCACCGAGTGTTTGGGCGGTTGCAGGGTGCTGCAGGGTTCTCGACCGGCAACAATGGGTGCTGGTGTGCAAACGCTAAGACAAGACTGCCAAATGGTTCAGGAAAGTTGCATGGTTCCGACGCCGCAAACTTGGCTCTCGCAGGAGCAGGATGACATTGGCGCCTCAACTGAGCCTCCAGTCTTGAATGCCCCAGCCACTTGACTGCGCCAATGGGCAAGTCATATTGCTCCAGGACCAGGAGGAGATGTTTGGTTCGTCCAACACCTCGTGTGCAGCTGCAACTTTAAGAACGACTTGACCTTTCTTCAATTTGATACAATTTCATCCATTTTGGTCTCCAGCTGCCCGAGACTTTCGCCCAGGTCTTCAAGTTTATTTGGCCAGCGATGGCACAAGAGGGCCCACCCTCTGGAACAGGATCTGTGCAGGGTGGAGCACTCGGTGGCACACAGATACCAGGAATCACCTCATGCCAGGCTGGGTGGTGCGACCGTCCGAACCTCTTAGTTTGGAACGTGGGTGTTCCCACCCCCATCCAAACATGGCAGGGAAACGCAGTAGACACGCACTCAGTAGATCAATGTCAATCATTGCTGTTGTGGAGTGTGTCTTATATTGGTGTTTGTTTGAAATCACGCACGCCATATGACCAAATACGTAGTCTACGTCGTCCGTGTTACAGTGCTTTCAAGACAACAAGGCGAACCCGGCGAGTTCTCCCTTCGAGCGAACTTCAGCGATGACAGGTACGGCAGATCAGCCTCTCCAACCACAACGCCTCCAAAGTCACCTGCCGCTTCCGAACGGAGGGTCCCTATAGGATCCAGTTGATTCAGCAACCTGGGCATCATCCGGTGCAAGGTGGGGGGGTCATTGATTTTTGAATTGGAGACCTCATCCCCCAGCAGGTCTCCTTGAACAAATGATCCCGTTGCCAGGTTCAAGCTCCAGCTCCTCCAAAAAAAGGCAAAGAGGAGACGAATGAGATTAAGGGCAGGCAGGGCCCACGGCGCCTGTTCTGGCACCGTTTGTGAGTGTATGTGAATGTTGATCACTAGGATCTAGGATTTCCCCCGCTTCCAAAAACACCGACTGCGTTCTCAGTCTCTGGGACGGCGTTTTGAAAAAAATGCCACGCTGCTTCTCTGTCTCACCCGTCATCACTTCAATTGGGTGGGTTATGGTTGGACGGGTGAGGCTCTTTGTGCTGGCGAAGTGGGAGACCATCACACTGCATGTGGCCTTCAATCCTGAGCTGGTGGCTGCCTCCGAGTGGCATCACTACTACACCAGACACGAGCATGTGTGGCTCGGCGGCTTTCGACTTTCGGAAAAGTGGAAAAGTACGAAGGGGCTACAAAAGACAGAGCCTGTGGAAGAAATGCAAGTCGCACAAATTACAGTATATATTTACACAATAAAAGAGAAGAAATATAGTGAAAAGAAATATATGATACATTTAATATGCAAACCTTTTTTCCTAAACGGCACGGCACCCAGTTGATTTTTGAGCGAGGCGGTGAGACTCCAACGCGCCGTTCCGACGGAACCTTCGCGTCGGACCGTCCGAGGTTCAAGGGTGACGTGATCGTGGAATATCCCCGGGAGACCAGCGGGGAGAGTGAAACACACAAGGAGCGGCCGCGGGCTTTCTTCTGTTTTAAACCGCTCCAGAAAACCGAAACCAGCTGAAATCATCAAAAGCTAGGCTAGGCCGCCAAGCAACTTCAAAGATGTTGAAAGACTTTTGAACATATTGAACTGTCATCCTTTCAAGAAAGAAAGACCTATTCGCCCTGAGTCCCGTTTCGTGGCTTGGTCAGGACGATCTTCAGCGCATCCACCTCGTGGGCTCCGCGCGGCGCGCCGCCCTGCGGCTACACTTGGTGCCCTGCTTCGAGGGCCCAACGCCGCAAGACCCCGCGAGACCGCGCGCCGAGCGGCCGCCCTGGTCCGAGCCGATGCCGCTGATCGTGGAGTTCGGCCGCTGGTCCGAGGAGATGGAGAAGGAAATGAGTCAGGATGGATGTGAGTGTGGATGTGTGTTGAGCTAAGGGAGGCGAGTAGCTGGCCCAGTGGGTCTTTGCCAGTTCAACCGGCACTCTCACAACATGCCGGTTTAACCAGGCCCCAGGCCTTTCTACCTCGCCCATGTTTTACCAAAACGGATAAGTAGTCGCTCAAGTTTCACCATCATGGAGGCCCAGTGAGTCAAAGCACCAGTCTAACTGGTGCTTTAGTAACGCAGCAGTTTAGCCGGTGCTTTGGCAAAATGGGAACTGGAAGCTTGAAAAGGCCGTGAAAGACACGTGAAAAGGCCGTGAAAAGCATGTAACAATTAGTAAGTCTTGGAAGTTGGGAGGTGAACTGCTCCTTTACCCTAATGCACCAGTTTAACCTGTCCTTTGGACTTGCTAGGAGGTGATGGAGGGTACCCATATAATCATGCGTACATCTAGAGGGTGAAGCGTGGCCTTCGCTTCAACGTGCTTGTTAAACCTGTCCTTTTGGACTAACTGGGTGGAGTAGATGGGAGGAGGAGGAGGGGGTATTTGCAAAGAGGCACCTGCGACTTCCAGTGAAGCATTCCCCACAATACACTTTTACAGGCTGATTCCTAACCTCTTGCTTACATCATTGGCCAGAACTTGTCCAATGCGTCAACGGGAGCTCAGGCTACACCCACGTCACCAGCTCGGTGACACGGTACCGGACCATCCTGATCTCCAACATCACCAACATCCTCGCGAAGTGGTCTCTGGCGCATGTGGGCCGCAAGCGGAAACCCACACCCATCATCGGCGTCACGCTCCCCGAAGAGGAAGAGTTCCGGGCACTGGACGACAAGGCGCCGGTGAATGAGTCTCAGATGAGTTTCCTTTGGATGGTGACTGAGGTATTCCTAAATGTCTCAAATGTTTCTTTACAAAGAATACTAAGAGATCACGAATCAATTTCCACTTTCATCGACTTTATTTTGTTGCTCTTTTCACACGAGAAAGTTGGTAGAAGACCTGGATGATGCATGATGATGCATACTTTAGTCAGCCGGCATTTGTTGCAGGATGCCTTTGAGTTTGAGATCAGCGCGGGCGAGCTCCCAGGACCTTCGAAGGATGGCTTGGTGCCTGATTCAGAGGCCGGATGCCACGGGGCAGATGTTGAGAGAAATTGATTTAGTTGCCAGGAGCTACTAGTAGCGACGCCCTTGTTACTAGCGATGCCCTTGTTACTACTAGTAGCGATGCCCTAGGTTAGTACTAGCCAGCTTCTTTGCTAAAAGCCTTTCGAAGGCGTCGGTGGGTTCTAAAGGCCCGTGTTGATCTCTCCTTGTAACAGCATCAGTCAGTTGAGACCGCTGATCCCTCATTGTGAATCAGTAATTTTTGACGAGGGCATCGGTTGGGTTACAGACCGTGTTGATCTCTCGCAGGTCGATCCCCACTTCAGAGCTATTCACACGCAGACATATGCAGACAGACAAAGAGCCGCGCAAGACAAGTCCTACCACTGAATTAAAATCATGCCGAATGATGTTCAATGATGTTCATTTGGTACAAGACTACAAGATGGTACAAGTGAGATTGGGTGTCGAGTCTTTTGTTGGTTCTTATCCAGGTGAATCCAGGTGTTGGACACACCACCGATTTCAATGGACAATTCGCCACGGAGGAGCGCGTGCCCCACTGGTGTGCCAAGAGCTCGGCCGTGCCACGAGCACTGCCCTTCCCAGATGAGGAGTGGTTCGAGCCGCAGCAGGCGAGCCCACTAGCCTACGGAGACACCCACACAGGTTCTCCGTCGTTGTGTGCAGGGTCATCAGGATTCGAAATAACAACCGAAAGTGATCACGATAATCATAATGTATCCTATATATCATTAGCAGGATATATATATATATATATTTACTTGCATGTCAATACTTTCCGTTTTTTGGCCTCCACGCCCTATGCAGTGTTTGAGCTCACTAAGGTGAAGATCGCCTTCCGGCCAAAGAAGAACGAGCTGTGCCTGGGCTAAGGGGAGCTGGCCAGGTGACGGACGTTTTCCACCGAAGACACACTGGGTGAAGGATGGAGAGAAGGATGGAGAAGGTGTTATCAGCCGTTTGCGACGACCACCTACTAGGTTTTCCACAGCCACTGCATGTGTGCTGCAGCTGAAATGGGTGGCCTATGGTGGCCTTGTGTTGCGCACCCACGACAAAACAAAGGACCCGCCCACAACGACCCTTTCGCATGCACGAGGTCTCGTGATGTTTATCGGGGTATTTCATTTGTGACGCCTGTTGCTTGAAGGTAGTGCCAAGAATTCCGAGGGTAAAAAGCATATGCACACATATATATATATATATTTATATATATATATATTACATATATATACACGGTTCCATAAGTAACACAAACATGCCATCGACACTGGTCATCAACTGAACATATTATATTTTCTCCACATGGCGCCAGGTACAAGTGCCGTTTCCGTGTGCAAGTGGAGAACGGCTTAAGCGTGGACTTCATTTGTCGTGGTTGTGGGAGCTACGACGAAGAAGACGACAGCTTGGATTTCCATGAGGCGTAGGAACTGGATGCCCTTAAGTTATCAGTTTCAGGCTTTTTGTTTTGTATTTTATGATAATTCTAGGTGATATCATAGGTGGTTTGAGATGGTTTGTTGGTTGCAACTCTGTACTTAGGGTGTCACATGTGTGTAGTTGAGGATGTTGAGGCGAAGTCTCACCCAGAAAATGACACCATCTCAGCCTGCAAAACCGTAGGCATGAGTTGCGCGCAGCGCGGGCGTTTGCATGAGAAAAGGAGGCTGCCACCTGATATTATGAGACAGAAGTTGAGAAAGATCATTCAAGTCAGGAATATATAGTCAGCCTTAGAGCTTGACTGTCAGGAAGAACTGGAACGGCAAACTTGCAACCATTTCATCTCAAGACCCGTGAACAGCAGCTGAACAATTGCTGCTTCAATGAAGTTCGCCTTGGTCTTGCTCTCAATTGGGCCTGTTTGGTCAACTCGACTCCAGAGTCGAGGTCGGTGGCTTTGCCCGGAAGAGGCTTCGACCTGCCACTGCGAATGCCCACGCACCGCCGGTGCCGGCGGTCTCTTCACTCAGCTTGAGGCGAAGCCGGCCCAGGTCGAGGTCGAAGAGGTGTTACCACCGCGGCCTCCACCTCCACTGCCACCCATGCCACCAGGCAAACTACCTCCCATGCCCAGCTACACCAAGATGACCGAAGATGATTTGCCAACCCTGGGCCCTCCACCAGCCACGACCACATTGTCAACGACCCTACCACTGCCTGCGGGTCACTTTCCAGCGATGATGATGAACGGCCGCCTGGTGCCAGCTACCGATGAAGAGGAACATTACTATCAATACTTTCCAGGCGCCCGACCCTTGAAACTAGCTCCTAGAAGATGCCAGACGAGAAAAATCACAACATGCTAACTCATGTTTTAGCAACGCCGACACGTTCACCTCCCAAGCAGTTTTGATACATTTTGATACGATATAGTGTATACTGTAAATTTTGATCTTGTGTTCTCATGGGATGCTTTCGTGTGCGGATGCTGTCGTGTGCGGATGCGCCTCCTTGTGGCCTCATGGGCCTTTGATCTGTGCGCAGAATCGCCTCTCTTCCGGGGATGTCTCGGGGCAGAATCGCACGCCTTTCGGGTGGAAATGCCTGTTCCTGTTCACATGCTCCTGCCCGCGCATGTTCGCGATCAGGCCTTGGCTACTTCAAGTTCAAGAGTCTCTTGGAATATTGGTTGCCATGCGAACGCAACGGCGTTCAACGGCTGGTGTTTTCAGACGTTTTCACCACCACCCTCAAACAACATTGACCAACCCCATGCGCCCTTCAGAGGGCACGGATACCTAGAGCTTCTCCAGTAATTATATAATCGAAAACACGGCGGCCGTAAGTATGGAGGGGTGTCCGAGATGCGTTTCTTTAATTGGATACGCTGCGCTTCTTCAAATAATGTACAGTAAACTACTCGCGATTTGGAACATCCAACCGTGAAAAGGGATACCCCCCAATCGTCTCGCGGCCTCTCCCGACCCGAGGTCCCAGCGGCCCAAGCGCCAAGATCGTGGCGCCGAGCCTGACCAAGCGTTGGAGCACACCGAAGTTCCTGTGCACTTGCACGTGCCCTGCCCAAGGATCGGTCTTTCCAAGCTGGGTACGGCGAAACGGGCGAGGTAGGCAGACGGCAGACCCGTGGAATCGCCCGCCTGGGATGGGCGAAAGGTTCTGGCAAGTGTTCGCTGTTCTGATCGGGGTGTGGAACTCCAGGGCCACAAGCCAATACAAGACAATGAAGGATGATGAGATCTGAATGAGTTGGAAGAAGACAGGACGTTGCCCAACCAGCACACAGTTCTCCCAATGGAGAGTCACACACTCTGATGGCACTTGGCCCACCGAACAAACTGATGGAAACGGGCTCCCCATCCTACCGGAGAGCAGAGCTTTCAACGTGTGGATGCCATGAATGTGTAAAGCGTTCGATGCGTTTGGAAACCTCGCATTGTTTAATTAGTAAACCTCGCTGGATGCCATCAACTGCTGGGTTGAGACATGGTTTTGCTCAATGGCATTTGACAAAAGCACCAACTGCATGGCATTACAAAGGCGTACTGTGAAGGCCGATTGATTGTGAAGCCGTATGCGTAAGAACCCTTTAGCTAAAAAAGGGTATTGGGAACGTGGAATGTAAACGTTGTGGGATGTGCTCAATTTTTGCAGCTGGTGATTGTTCAAGGTTACTGTGGTTGTGTGTGTATTTTCCTCCAAGCACTCCCCGAGGCATGCTTGGAACTTCAATGGCATCGCGTGTTCAAATTTTTGCTGCACTTCGGCCACTTGGGCTCGCAGGTGTGTTGGGCGATATGCACAGTATTCAGATGTATTCACGGGTGTTTCGAGGGGAGAAGAGAGAGAAAGAGTCATTAGCCATGTCATCAGCCATGTCATCAGCCATCTTTGTATCCGACTTCACCGAGGTGGGCGATCCAGCTCGCCCGTGCACGAACTGTCAAGGCGACCTTTGGGGCACTTGCCTTCCACCAGGTCCTGGCCCTCCAGGTACTCAGCTCGTGTCCATCAAGGACCCCACGATGCGCACGATACGCGTTGTTTGTTGTTTGAATTGGCCAAAAGGATTTCAAAGGCCCCAGCACAGGGCACAGTCTGGCACTGGTCGAATATCCTGGCAGTTCATCTCACCAAAAATCTCGAGGATTCGGAATGCTTTTCGGGTGACGTAGGAGCAGCCACGGAGCTTGAGAGGCGACAGCTGCCCCTGTGACTAAGACGGCGAAACTCGCGAAAAGGCCGTCGGACCGGAAGTGGCGCCAGGTAAGCTTGGGCATTGTCCTCACAATTTCATGTATGGAAATGTGAAATGTGTTTCTAACTTTTGTCTAAATGTCAGACATGTCATGACATGTCCTGAAAAGCTCTTAGAGGTCAAACAGCTGCATGGCAAATCGTAGAAAAGAATTCTATTTTTGCAATGTGAAGCTTTAAGTATCACTTGGTGCTTCTACTTTCTTTAGCCTAGATAACCCATCTCATCGGATATTCTATGGCGGTTTTCGGGTCAGGACGTGGGGCACATGCCACCAATGCGGGGCAACCTTCAGTAGACGGGCACCTGATCAGGACCACCCAAGTTCCTTGCGAAAGGCAGATGGAATGGAACACAATGTCACAAAGGCAAAACATGCTTGAAAATGCAAAATCATGGCAAACTGATCGATTGCAGAGTTTTGACGCTCCACAAACCAAGCCAAAACGAGTCTCATTCAGAACCTGCGTCGCCACTTCTCGCGCCCGGGCCGCTGCGGCGATGGCACCATTGAGGGGCCGAAGGAAGAAGGCTGTGAAGGGGAGAGGGCCGTTCTGATCACAGGGGGTGGAGGTATGGCTTGATGGCGAGACTCCTTGTGATGCGCATTGGTTTTCCATTGCATCCTATAAAAACTAGCCCTACCGTCATCATCATTGGCATCACCAGCAGCATCATCAGCATCCTCCTGCTCACCCCACCCGGTTCTAGCAAACCTGGCCCAATGGCTCGCTACTCCCAGGACTATGATGTGGTCGTGCAGGGTCAGTCGGCTGAGAAGGTGGCTTCAGAAATTGCTGGATCCTCAGGCGAAGGTCATGGGAAGCGGCGGGTGGAGGTGTGTTTGGCACAGTCCGATACAGTATATCCAATGATTGGGTTTGGGTAGGGATGCGTAGTCCTTGGATGTCCTCAACACGAGCCCAGTCACTGCTGCCTGGGACTGTCTTCATGGTTCTGGGCATGGGGGTTTCACTCCAGGCTCTCGCCTGATCAGCGCAGCATAGCACAGCTCTTCTCTAAGAGAACGTGCACCAAGAGTAGCCGTCCCATGTCAGGTGCTGTCAGGTGTGTTGAAGGAAGACCTGAGTACTTGGAGACCGTCAAGAGTAACGCGCCTCGCTGCCTCGCTCGACTCAGGCTGCTCACCTTACAGCCAAGGGGTTTTGCACCGTCGACCCACGACTCGACGACGATCTGCTTCGGCAGGGGCGTGAGGACCGAGGGTGGAGTTGGTGTTTGGAGCGCTCAGGTGCCGGCACACCTGAAAGCTGGATCTAGTATGATCTAGTTCTATATTGGATTTGAATGGATTTCATCTATATACAAACTTTGAATCTAACAACAGCCAACAGCGCAAAAGCATTTGCAACTCATTGGCTCAAATCGCCACCTTTGGGCTTTTGGACATTGGCATTTGGAAGACAGAAACACTGAAGGCCTGCCAAGGCATTCCACTAATGCACTCGGAGAAACTTCTTACGCGGTGGGCGGTGGGTTTCACAGACTATGCACTGCCGGGGCTAAGTTGGATGCAATTTGATGCCGATTGGAAGCGCGCATTAGAGTCTAGCTAGAGCCCAATAAGGGGAAATACTGCGGCGCTTGTTCAAGAATGCTGTAGCGACGGGTCAGTTTTGGACACTTGGTCACGCCCCAGAAAATGTGAAGTCGCGCGTTTAGTCCACCGTCCGATCCTTGCGACGGCTGTGATATGCGCTCATTTGCAGAGCACTAACTACAGAACTGTAACCTAAAGGCTGTTGATGAAAAAAACCTCCCTTGCCACCCAGTGGAAGCTGACGGCATTGCTCGTTTCTGAGACTTCGCGAGCCGCGGGAGGTAGAAGAGGTTTTGCAGTCCAAATGCTGGGGAGGTCATTCATCAAGTTTCTCCATTATATAATACAATTACTGTAATTGGCCAAGGCGCGGAAAGGCTACACCACGGCTGAAGCCCATAACAAGCCACGCCCTTCAGGACATTAGCCAAGCAGATGCCCAAGGTGCGCTAAAGCAGCCGCCAGCAATGGTGACTTGGTCGCAATGGAAATGGTGATTGACATTGATTGACAACCTCATATGCCAAGCAAAGGTTGGCAAAGCGGGGTCGGGGTTAACCTAGCAAGTCTCATCTATGTTCAAAAGGACTCCCCAATACCAACGTATTTTGAGGGAATTGGGGACAGCCTATTGCGCATACTTGCGCAATGGTTGCCGACCAGTTTTGCGGTAACCTCCAAAAAGGTTCAACCCAGCAGCGCAGTCCGCTTGGGCGCTAAGATAATGGCCTGCCCACATAGCTTTGTTGCGGAAGTAAAAAGCACGGGTTACTGTTGAGGGGACACCTGTTGATTGAAACCTGTGTTCTACTAGGATTTCCCCGATCATGACCCCCTCCACCGATACTGCTGCCAGGTCCTAAAAGGGCGTGATGCCTCCGCCACCATTCCCACGAGCATCATATCAGACCGCCTGGCCCAAAGCCAGTGTCCGTCACACTTGAGCACGACCTGTCAAAAGAACCATGGTCTAGTTTATATAGATGGATGTAGGTGGCTTGAGGGTAATCAGTTGAGAAACCACCAACCACCTTGCGCGCGTTCCTCACTCCTGTGGCGGCCTGTGGCGTAGTGCTGGACAAGGGTTTTGGCAAGATGGCGTGAGGCAAAATCAGTGCAGGGGATATGGGAATGCCAGACGACAACTGTGTAAGACCGTCACCTAGTCCGCCACCTTATTTATTACTGTATTACGCAGATCTTTGCACAATCTATAGGGCCAAGCCTACCGATATCTACCGATACATTCATGTTGTTTGGCAAGCATGAGCGTGAGAAGCATTCAACCTCGGGCCAATTTTACCTAACTAAGCCAATTAACAGCATCGCTTGCCACGTATTCTGGGTTCGTTTGCACTGCGTTCATTCATTTTCGATCTTAGAGCGTCTTAGATCCACCAGTCACCAGCTGCTTGTTTGTGCTTCTTTGGGGTTTGGATTCGATCCTCACCAGCCATCCAGGCATTGAATCGGGAGGACGAAGCGACCGTTTCAAGCTGCCAGGTGCACGATGGCTTGCTGGGCGAGGAAGGCTCTTCCTTGATTCTGGACCTTTTCCAGGCCCCTATGAATCGTGCACTCGTTCAGAAACAAGCATCAAGACAATTGGATGTATATGATTTAGTAGATGCTCGCTTCCCAACCTAGCTGAGTAGCGAAGGTCGGCGAGTGAAGATGCGATGGCAACCATTGTTACTCTCAGCCTCGCCCTCGACAGAGGAGGTCCCCTTTTACACAGCTCATAAGCAGGTTGGCTCAGGTGCTCCAAACGAATATTCAGGAATTCCGGTTGAATCTCTATGAGGCATAAGCTGCTGGTATTTCCCATGTGGATGTCCTCCCCCAAGTCATCGCGCAGGAGGGCTTGATTTCATCCAAATCCAGAGAGTTCAGACACTTGATGGCGCTGGATGAGTCGATGTCAGAGCTCGTGAATGTCCTGCAGTGCCTCGGAGGTGTTTGGACAATTTTGGAAGCTTCTCTGAAGGCCTCCCCAGGCTTGAGTCATGAGACATGCGACTTCGAAGGGCCCATTGATTGGAATGAGTCATAAAAAGATTGACCACTAGCATTTATAGCGCTGGCTACAGCAGTAACAGCCCGTGTTCGCAAGACCTTCCGTTCATGTTGGATACACCTGATGGGCATGCATCCCCTGCCTCACAAGGCTGTCGATGGGCCAACTGAGCTTCGGCTCCCTCAGCAAGACCCATGGCTTGGTGCATGAGACGGGCCTCGCGCCCGAGCATGCGCCGGACCCCACGGAGCATGAAGCCAGCCACCGGGGCAGCAGGGTGGTGGGTGGTGGGAGAGGAGAGCACATGTTGGACGTGGGGGCCAGAACAACGTGACAGGTGCTGAGTGTAATTGTTTTGGGGGGATTCCGCTGGATTGCAGCTCTCGTGGTGCTTTTCAGGTTGTCAACAAAACCGGCCTATATAAGCTTTTTCAAGGAGAGTTGGGTAGCTGCTAGCTGGATTCAAAATATTCAAAGGCACCAAGATTGAGGGTATTTGGAAGTTGTTCTCCATCAGGGTACAGCAGCAATGAATCGCCTTGCTACGTCGCATTCAAGTAATAACCCAAGCCGTCTTTTTCTCATAGAAATGCTGCAAATGTAACGCCACGCAATGGCTACTGTGAATATCAATTGATCTAGGTGTCGCGTTGGGTCACTGGGGCCATTTGCGCTGATTCGAACTTTTGCTTGGGCTTGAGGTTATTGGCTAGGCACCTTGGCCTGCATGGGACGTGATGGGTCAAGCGCTTCAGGGCCTTCGTCTTGCACAAAGCCCCATTGAAGCACATTCTAATTACTGTACATCTTACATCTATGTTTGTACTAATCTAGGGTTGCGTGCTCTTTTGGAACAGGAAGAAAGGTCCTGACCACATTGCCAGCCAAATGATGAGCTACTACTACATTTGTGGCCTCTAGTTCCTTCTGGGTAATGCAAGCACCCAGCTGCACGCCTCCAGGTGTCCTGTTGCACCCTACCAGCAGCAATTGCAGCTCCTTTCACCCACGCACCACGTGCGGTGCCGGCACGCCACATCTTCGACCAAGAAGCAGCTGAGGAACCCTCGCGCAGAAGAAGATCATGATCCTCCTTTGTTTAGGCCCCGTACGTGGCACCCTGGAGCTTCAGCCTTATGATGAGGACACCGAGGCCTACGAAGTGCCTACCATCCCAGGACCGAAGACCGAACTACACGGTCGCATGCCGTGTACCCCGCGACACCGGTGAATGAGTCAATCGCAGATATGTACTTCAGATATCCACCGAGCTGTCCTGAAATTAGAGGCTTCATGGTCGTCCTTGGTGACAGCGTTTAGCAGTTTAGCTCATTGGCCATGTGTGCACCAGTTTAGCGCTTCTCCCTTTTTCAGGAAGCTTCATTATCCTCCGGGCAGACGCCATGTGGCACCGGCACTGTGCTCACTCCAAAGCACACATACTTAGCTGCATTTTTGCTGCAACTAGTGGGACTTGGCAGTGTGGGAGATGACCGTGGGTTGCCCTGCTGTAGCAAGCAAGCTTCCAAGCCACCACCCACGCACACAAGATAGGCCTGCCGGAACCGTGATGGATTCTGCATGGCCTCCCTGGTCCAGTCAGAGCAAGGAGCTGACTGTGTCACATCGGCGGGGTCGATCTTTCCTCGGCTCAGGTTTTCTGGTTGGTCACGAGGGCGGCCGAAAGGGGGCACCCAACTGGGTACCACCATGTGCCAAGAGCCTCGAGCAGTGGACTGTGGAACGGATGAAGATCCTGAAAGAGAACCAGGCCAAGACACAGGAGACTTCCTCCCATGATTTCCGATGTTGGTTGGGGTTTGATTTCATTTGAGACATGGTTTCGCCCCCCTAAATTGATGTGAAAGGATCGTCCTGAACACAAATGTGGGACGCGACCCGATCGGACTGGACTTACTCCGCCAGGAGCGCTTAGATTTGCCCGCCGGTTGGATCACGGCCATGAATCACATGTTCCACACCGCCCAGCGGGTGGCGGTACGCTCGGTGGCGGCGCGCTATGCAGGCTCGTGGCAGGCGCGCGCACCGGTATTTCGTGGTGTCCTAGAAGGGGAGTGTTATTTTGTCTTGTGTGTTTTTTGATGAAAATATCATTATCTGAAATAGATTCAGATGATGGTGTGCTCCTGCGGCTTTGCGGAAGAAGGGTGTTTGGGTGTTTGAGGGGGGTTCACGGGATTTTGGGGGGTACTCACCCAGCGGTCTGGGACATTTGTGGTTTGTTGGGCCTCCAACAGCCGTGAAGCGCCGCATCCAACCGCGGCGCGCAGGTGCAGAGTTGGTACATGTCCCAGCCTTCAGGGCCCGACTTAGTGACGGAAGTGCCTTTGACACGATGGGACGTGGACACCTATTTCGATGCCGAGGACGCGCCGGTTGATTTGGGATGCCGGAAGTGTTTTGGGAGGAAGAGTGAGAAGGCTGCTTGCTAGACTCGATGACTGGGCTCAGGACCCTGGACATGGGAAATGCTCTCGTTTTGCGGGGAGTCACCGCATTCACCACATGTGTGGCAAAGGCTGTTCTAGTCCGAATGCATTGTTTCCAATGTTCACTTTGTGCTTTGAGTTCTCACCCGCCTTTCCTCCAGGTGGTTTGTGGGGTCGCCTCTCGTTTCTCACCGGCCAGGAGAGCGAGTGGCGACGCGGGAAGAGCATGGCTCGCCATGGGAGCTTCGTGGAGGGCACCGAATATTTCGACAACAAGTTCTTCGGCCTCTCGCCCCTGGAAGCCAAGGCGCCCAAGAAACGCGGTCCACTGACGCGGGGTATTGAGAGATACAATGCGGTAGACGCATTGGGGGTGGACTCCAGATTGCTGCAAGGTCCAATGGGAGGTCCAATGGGGTTGCTAGCAAAAAAGGTGGTCAGAATTGTTCAGGCTGATTGCCTGAAATGGAAGGCAAGGTGCTATAGTAATTATATATAGTTGTGGCGGAGTTGTGGCTGAAGAATGCGTGAACTGAATGGGCCTAAGCTTCACAAGCTTGGCTTTTTGAGTCCTTGATTTGCCAGGGCATGGATCCTCACCAGAGAGTCGTTTTGGAAGTGGGGTACGAAGCTTGCCATTATGCTGGCTACAGCAAGGGGAAGCTGATGAACAAGATCGGCCTGGTCCTCAAACTGGTACCGTTTGACATGAAGTGAGAGTGCCAACAGCGAGGGAGGCAAAACATGTTGACTTCACTGAGCCAACAGGTGGAGTTTACCTTGGTAGCAGCTCGTGGCTTGGCGGTTTGATCAGTGTGGTTCCACTTCTGCTAGGCATTTGAGGCATTCATATGTGCCGCACCTGCATGTTTAAAGAAGCTTCAACCTAGCAGCCTTGTGTGAGAATTCGTCAGTGGTTGCTTTTTGGAGGACAGTCTTTGGCATGGTTTCAGAAGTGAGTGGAGCAACTGGCGGTGCCGCCAGTATCAACTCCAACCGTTTCAGCTTTTGCTGCTTGGCTTATTGTGCATTGTTGTCCAGTTACCCCACGGCAAACAAGACAGCCCAGCAGCCACTGCAGTTTTGTTTTGCTTGTTTGATGTGCTTTGTTTGTTGCTCGTCGATTCAGCTGTGGGATGTACACAATTGTCATTGCTATTGCATGCTGTTACCGTGCAGCAGGGCTGGCCAAGTTTCTGCCACGTGCATGTCATCCCGATCCCCCTTCATCAAACTGGCTTTAGTTGCGTGCTGAGACCCAGCGACAGAAACTAGATGTTTACAACATGCAGACAGGCAAGCGTAGACACGCCCCTTCTCGTCCCTTCCCGGTCCTTTTGTGTGTTCATGTTCCTTCCGCATTTGAATCCACACACTCCCCAAGCTAGTTTGTGTCAACAGTTTTGCCTCAGCGGCTTAACTTAACTAACTGATTAATGCTGCACAAACTACAGTATAGGTGAAGCTGCTGCATACGTGTGCGATGAACTCCCACAGTGAACAACATTTGGCAGGATGCAATTCCCAGATTGGGTTTCTACTTCAGGGTCAATCCGTTTCACCACATCCTTTTCTCCATCGCTGGCTTCCATGCCGTTCTTCAAGAGCAGGCGGACAATGATCATTTCCCACACCTGACCGTACACAAGGCCCTTCAGGGCCTTCACAGCCCTCTTCGGCACCGCCAAGAAGGTGCCACTCACTCCAGAACTTCCTGCCCTTCCTGCTTAGAGCATCGGATGCTTCGAGCTCCCTGCCACCGGATTCGCGCAGCCGCCCACGCCGGTCGCCGTCGAACCCGAGGTTTGGGTCTGAAGGGCCCGAGCATGACCTGCGACACCGACGGCTCCTCCTCGCTCACCGCGGTGCACCTGGGGGGCGAAGCGGTGCTCACCAAGGGCCACGGCGTGAGCAACGAGTCACGTGGAAGATGTTGAGGCCAACTGGGCTTGGCTTTGTGAGGATGAGGAGGTCCATGTTGGTATGTGCTACTGGGGAGTCAGATGTCATGAGTGACAAGACTTGGAAGGTCCAGCAGACATCACCAGATTATGCTAGGACAAAACAAGAAAGAGAAGTTTGTTGACAACGGCCGCAGATGTCTGCGGTGCCAGACGTTTGGGATGTTCCAGATATTGACCGTTGAGGGACGTGGATGGTGTCCGCATCACTGGACGTTGTACCGTGACGAGAGATCAAATGGAAGCGGGAGTCGGTGTGTGCGCGCACCGTCATCGCTGTTTTTTTTGGATAAGGCCGATAAGGCAGGTTCAGACGTGGCACGTGCGCCGCGCCCTCAAAGCAAGGTAATATGAGGAGCCTTCGACTGGTGCGTACTGAGGTTGTATGAGGTTGTCTACTGCATATGTCGTTTGATTCCGTTTGATGCGTAAGCGTTTGCAGGGTGTTCATGAAAAAGGTCCGGTCTTGGTGACAAAGAATGCAAAAGATCTGACCCCCCATCGGTCCAAGGTTTGATCCAAAAGCGTCCATGGACGCTCCGTCTCACCACACTTCCGGTTCGGTCTCACCGATGCGCCAAGGTTCTCGTTGGCGGGTGGGGTGGCGTTCCAACTGGGTCCGGTCTACCTTCCTCAGATGCAAGCAGCCGGCCTCTTAGGAGGCAAAGGGGCGTATCACATCGTGTGACATCGTGTGACCCCGTGACCTGGGGCATCCTGGGGCGTACCGCCAGAGCGAAAAACACCGGCAATTGGGATGAAAGAAACGGCTTGCATCTTTTTTTCAGTTCCATGACCTTGAATTATATAGCATGATTTAGCCTTGGATTCAAGCTGGGTGTGCCATCTTGAAACGCACCGAAAGCCAAGTGGAATCGGGTCACAACCCATTTCCAACCTGCCTGGCGATGAAACATCGGCCGGAACAGGTCTCGGCCGATGCTTCACTTGGGATGTCAGTGACGGCCTCAGGGGCGGAGGGCCCGGGAGAAGCCCGTCATGTCAGTCGGTCGGTCCTGCCATTGAACACAATCCACAAGTCTAAATGATTCTGATTGTTACATGCGTATGAATACATGAACACATATTTGCCAAACATATCCATTAAATCGTTGTGATTCTTACTGTTTAGATTTAAGTTTATTGTTGCATAGTATTGGATGTGTCCTTTTTCGGATGTTCTCAGATTCCATACTTTTGAGTTGGGCGCCTCGTCAGAGAAGTCCGAGAAAAAGCTTCCATGAAAACCATCGTTTTGCCCACTCAGGTGCACAGGGCTACACGCTGGGTGCCTGGGCCACAGCAGCTTTGGGCCCACTGTTGGATTTGGGGAAAGCAGCGTCAGCAGCGTTCTGAACGCCTCGAGTTGATTCTTGAGGGATGCTGCCGATACCACACATATGTTTAGTTTGCTTGCCGTTGTCAAGTGGCCTTACTATGTTCATGCATTTCTAGCCCAAGGTGATGGCTGTGGCTTCATTGTGCAGAAGCGGATGGCAGACTGGGTGGATGGGCGACAGGTCCTCATTGAGGGTGAACCTTTGGTCCGAGCGCCCAGCGGGACCAGAGGGTGGGCTTGGAGTGTGAAAGAAAAAACAGCCACGAATAGATCCCCGAAAAGGAGGAGACATGACATGATCCACTAGTGAAACAATTCACAACATGTTTGGTGAAAAGTATTTTGTGCTGTAAATGAGGCGTTTGCAATGAGTTCAGAGTAGATAGCGCAAACCCTTTGCTTTGGGATGTGGCCCATCACAAGCCACTGACTGTTTCGTGCTTTGTGTGATCTATATACTCTGAACATTGAACTCCGACCATCCAGCTATAGCTCATCGGCCTACCCTTTTGTTCCTCCCTCCTACGCACGCCCTTTGCGTGTGCAGGTGGCCAGCATTTGCGGAAGCTCCTGTGCAACCATTGGCATGGGCGCGGCCATGAACGCCCCACATGGACCTTCAGAACAGGAGCTAGTCGCCCAGACCCTGAAAACAGCCGCTGGGCCAGGCTATCGAAGCGGGAATCGGCTGCGAGGCCATCGACTGCACCGACGGTAACGACGAATCTCCGAGGCCATTGCTGGTCACAGGGTCCAGATCCCATGCCTCAGAGTGAAGAGCTGTAGGTCAGCAGTCGAAACACTCCAGCGACAGAAGATGAACTGAATAGACAGCTGCAGGACGGCCACGGGTATTGTTTCAGTCACATCTAGATTGCATGGTTGGGACGGCCGTGCCCATCGACCCCATGTCAATCACCTATTGGCCTACCTTTGCTTTGTTTTGCCTTTGTGCATTTTCCCATTACAGTGCTTATCGGATTTATACATCTTTTTATACCTTTTTGCTTCTTCCTGCTTGGATGAGCTGGGTGACACGGGCCCAGGGCCCGACACAGCAGTTTTCGACGTTGGAGGGGTGGAGTTGATGGCCTCCACGGAGCCGAGGCAATGCTGGATCCTTTGAACATCGATGCCGTGGAGTGCAACGGGCAAGGATCTTTGCTCAGACGCTTGGCTGAAGTCAGACTGCGCACCGGAAAAGAAGAGATTATATAAATCAAAGGGACCTTGTCTCAGATAAAGTAAGTATAGCTGATATATATATATATATATGCGAAAAAGGTAGCAGCGGCACCCGAAGTCCGCAAACACGAAAACAAGAGGGCGCACTGAAGCGCCGCTGCCGCGCCTTTTGCAAGGCAACTGCCCTCCCAGTCTTGAGAGGGAACGACGGTAAGTGAAGGTCGAAAACAGTTCGAACTGCCGAAACACAAGTGCACAGCGTGAACTTTACATGGGGGAGAGTCCTTCGTCATCACCCCAGTTCCGCTGTTCGAACCGGTCCAGCCAGTGGTAGACCAAGGTCCGCACAGATGAGCCTGACCGATCATCGACAAGGTCAGGTGGAATCACCCTCAAACTACAAAGGCGGCAGAAATCTACTCGCCGCTGCAGGCTTTCATCTCTTCCGGCCAGGCTTGAACAGTTCAAGGTCGTGTGCCATCTGGCGCCATGCCGGCTGATGATCATGCCATTGTAGAAGGGGCATTCATTTCCATGCTCATCCATCTGCCTCAGGGCGATCTTCAGGATCTGGGAGGCTTCCTGTGCAAGGGTCTCAGCAGCATTCTGGTTTCTCAGAACCAGATTCATCGCTGTCGTGGCTTCGACAGCAGCAAGGCGGGACTCCTCGGCTTTGGAACTCCAGCGCAGGACTTCCTGCTTCAGGCGTTTGACTTCTTCTCTAAGGCGAGCTGGGATGATCGCTTCATCCTTTTGGACTGCAGCCTCAGTGACCTGGGGTGGTACTCGGTGGTGTGCATCATGGCTCCATCGACCAACCATGAAGGCTGTGCTCAAAAAAAGTAGAAGGAGGGTGCACAAAACAGTTCCAAACCAATCCATTCCAGCTTCAGGTTCCACATTGGCCGAATCGGCCGTGACCAGCTGCGGGGCCATGAACAAAAGCAAAAACCAAAACATGAAATTCGTCTTACGACCGCGGTAGGACTCGAGCGGGCGGCTTCCGACATGGCTCGGACTGTCGGAGACATACTCAAGCTTCCGGTCGGTCCTGGCAAACATGACATTCACAGGAACCTTGGAATTCCGAAAAATCTCTTCATTCCAAAACACCTGCTCATCGACATTCACGTCATTCTCCGCAGGATTCTCGTCGATGGGCTGCTGGTGCTCCTCGTGGAGGTTGGGTTCCTCATTGATCACATGTGGTGGTACCACATGGATGCTTTCGGGTTCCTCATTGATCACATGTGGTGGTACCACATGGATGCTTTCAGGTTCCTCATTGATCACATGTGGTGGTACCACATGGATGCTTTCAGCAAGACTCTGTTGGAGCTCAGCTTTTGTCTTCTTCTTGGCAGCTTTGTATGAGGGGTCCCAAACAAGCTTCAAACGACCGTGACGTAGCCGTTGTGCAAGAAGTGCTCTGGCCGACTCTTTTGTCAAACCGTCAGCCAGTTGGCGCTCCGATGACATCCACCTCAAAGAACCGCCCAGTGAAGACAGGCGATCCTTCATCACACGGATCTCAAGCGAAACTCGCTTGTCAACCACAGAGCTTCCGACTCCTTCTCGGTGATAGGAGTCGTAAAGGGCTTTGGCGTCCGTGATCATGGTGGGCGACAACAAGGATGGAGCGTCCAAGAGCTCTTGGAGTCGCTGGCGAGGGTCAACCAACAAGCTCCAGTAGATGCTGGCATGCTCCAAGGCATCGCAAGCTTGACCACCGCTTTGTGCTTCGGCGCCCAAGGAAGAGCGTGCAACTCTTGGCGTTTTCAAACTGCGCCAATCCAACACGTGGTAGGCTCCTTCGGGACCATTGGCCTGAAGCAAAGCTTTGTTGACCATCAGGATCACATAGCCAGCTTGTGAGGCTCCGTCACTGCGGGTGGCAAAGGCAGCATCAAAAAAACATACCAAACAAAGTTCTGAAACTTCGCCCAGGTGGCTGTACTGTAGGCCAACATCAGCATTTTCTTTTGCAAAACGCAGCAGGCGATTTGTGTCGGCCACTGTCTGAAGCGTGGCCTTGGTGACATGACCGCTCAGGATCGAGGTGCTGCTCTGCAAGTGAGGACTGCTTTGAACTGCGGGCCATTGAAGTGAACCAAGAAGTCCTCTCAGCTGTGTCAACTCACGCTGATTGAGCGCATCGGTGAGGCTGCGCTTCTTGTCGTAGGTGATCGGTTTCACCTTTCCCATGTAGCTGGTCTGGTTGAGGAGGAGACCATCATCCTTGACTTGAATGTCACAACCACAATAGGTCAAGGGCTTTCCATCATCACCAGTTTTCCATTCACGGAAGTTGAAGGTGCTCTTCAGCTTGGTGATGGTGTCGTTGTAGCACTGGGAGGATGGCGAACCGCAACCAAGCATGTCATCGACGTGCATGATGACCATACCACATAGGCCATGAGGTCCAAGCAGGTTGGAGTGCTCAGCTGTGGTGTCATACTCAGGGTTGAGGTCACCTTCATAGATCAAGAAGCAGCAAGGGTCTTGAGGATGCTGTCGGAGGCCCATAGCGCTCAGCTTATCAACTGCAGCCATGAACCAAGATCTCGGGGCATCGATCTGGCCGTAGCAGGGCTTGAGAAGCAACATACGGGTGTCAGCTGTAGCTCCAAGCAACTGCAAACACTCTTGAGGAAGCTGCACCCACAACTTGCGTGTCTGAGGTCGACCCTGCAGGAAGGCGGTTGCTATGTCTGAAGTCCAGATTGGCCACTGCATGGTGGAGGCCAAACTCAACAACATGGATCTCGACAGCCTCGTGGTTGTGGGCGATGAGGTTGGAACAGTTCCTTCCCAAGCGTCTGGGTCCATGAAGCCTCTGACAATGAGCCTGGCTTTGGCACGGGGGCTGCCATCAGGATTCTTTGACCACTTCAGCAGCATGCGACTGGTCAGCGTCCGACTGGGCTCAGCTTCTCTGGTGGTCTCGAACTGCCAGACGTGGTTGTCAAAGAAGGATTGCAACTCTTTGACCTTTGCAGCTTTGAAGGCTGCTCGCTCATCAGGAGTCATGTGGCGCTCCGAGAGGTTGTTCTTGTTCTTGTCTTTCTTGAAGCTTTTGGCGCGCCGGAGTTTGGTCTCCTTGCCAAGCTGTCGTGCTCCTTGAAGTGGGGCCTTAGCGAACATGGCCATCTCTCGACGAAGGTCGCCTTTGATCTGGAAGATCGTGACTCCAGTCCATGAGCGATCCAAGGGAGTGGAAGCCGTGTAGCCATCGTCGGTCTGTTGGATGCTTTTGCCGTTGTTGTCATACATAACGGTCACCCGAACCAGATCAAGCTGATCTGAGGTGAAGGGGCTGTCTTTTGGCAATTGGTGCAGGCACATCTTGGATCGTCGAGGGATCACATGGTGTCTGATCAAACATCCGGCTTTGACTTCCCAGAAGTCGCGGTCTCTCTTGTCGAGCTGGAAGTAGCCATTCTCATAGGTCCAACCTTTTGGCAGGCAGTTGGCTTCAATGCCGGAGACTTGGAAGGCATGATTCAGCAAGGCGTGATCAGGGGCCTTCTGACTTGCATAGAGAGCAGGATCATCCGAAGCAGCTGGAGCTGCCGATACTTGGGCTGGCGCTTCTGCGGCTGCCGCTGTTGCTTGTGTGTTGTGCTCTGTACTGTTGTGTTCTGCTTCTGGTGTTGTTGTTTGTGACGTCGTGTTGTATGGCTGTGGTGACCCAATGCGCTGTCTTCGCAGGGGGCCAAAACTAAGTGTCTCCTGTCTGTTGAAGCGAACTCGTCGTTGTTGAAAGGTTTCAGCATCGACTGGTTCATACAATGCTGCAGTGTCAGGGTCCAGTGAAGGCCCTGACATTGATGCTTGAGGTGCTGTTGCAATGGCCTGTGGTGATGCAGCATGTGGTGTGGGTGCTGCAGATGGTATGGTTGGCTCTTCGCTGGGTTCGACCACAGTAGGAGCCCGTGAGCGGGACCTAGTGGTGGCTGGTGAACCTGGTACAGTGATCTCGGCTGGGGCCATGGGCAGCAACATGTTTGGTTCTGCCATCACTGGTGTTGGTGGTGCTCTGGGAGACGTCGGTGCAAAGCTGGAATGAGCAGGTGAGGTAGGCTCATATTCATCATCGGGCACGATGATCTGTGGTGGTGCTTCTGCAGTCGGCACGGGTGGCTCCAGGCGAAAGCGATGCCTGGGAGGCTCATCATCATCTTCTTCCAGCAGAGGACCATCAGGGTCAGTGTGTTGTTCATCTTCCTCGACATCATCCAGCTGTTGGCGGTTCACCCGTCTCAAGTCGTAGAATCTAGTGACTCCACGGGATTTCAGCTGTCTCACTTTGTTGAGGGCTGATTGCAGGTCTTCGAGCACGTGCTGAGGTCCGAGGATGTCTGCACGGACATGGTGAGGCGCAGCACGAATCAACTGTGTTTTGTAGGCGAGCCAGTAGGTCTTGACCTTTGGAGCTGCAGTATCAGCTTCAGCATCTTCTTCACGAAGAACCACGTGGGCAGGACCAAGCCATCTGATCTTGTTCAGGGCTCCTTGGCGAGCATCACGCCAAAACCATACTCTTTCTCCCAACTGGAAAACTCGATTCTGGCCCTGGTACTTGCGACTGAGAGCTCGTCGCAGCTTGGAGTCAGCATCAGCAGATGCCAGTGCCATCTTTGCAGCAGTTCGCCGCTCAAGGTTCTCCTCAAATGAGTTGTTGTTGCCAGCAAGTTGAGCTGCATTGAGGTTGGAGTCCATGAGGTGGGACAGCTCAGGTTGGAAGCCAAGAACCCATTGACTGGGCGAGAAGCCAGCAACTGCAGGTGTGGCGTTCTGCTGTGGGATCACATAGCAAAGTGCTTCCTTGATGCCAGCAGCGTCGTTGAGCTTGCGGTCATCCATGTAGACCTCACAGGCACGGCGCAGCACTGCATGACGGCGCTCAACCAACGAAAGGCGCTCATGAGCTTCTCCTGGTGCTACTTGATGGTCAATGCCAAGTGAGCTTGTCCAAGATTCAAACGGTGCACCAAGCCAAGGTCGGCCTTCATCGGAGATCAGCTTCTTGGGAGGGCCAAAATGGCGAACCCACATCTTTCCAGAGCGGTGATGTAGGACTTGGAGGTCTCCTCATGAAGCAGGTAGGCTGCCATGAACTTGGTGCCAACATCAACTATGCTCAGCACTGCAAACTTGCGGTCTGCTGGCTTGAGGTAGAAAACGTCAGCCTGAATCACTTCGTTGAAGGTCTTGGGCTGTGGCATGGATGATGGAGCAACCTGGTTGGGCTTCTTGTGCTTCAGACATGCCACACACTTGTACTCCTTGGCAGCGGCGATCACAGTGGGATGAGCTCCTCTGGCGGTCAACAGATCAGCCAGAGCATCAGGTGCCGGATGGCCAAGGTTTCGGTGTAGCCGTTGCACCGTTCGAAGAGCATCTTGTCGGTGTTCAGACTTGAGCTTGAGGAGGTGTCCGGTCTCTTTCTTGCCAGTTTCATCGACCACATAGGCGGTGTCCCACAGTTGAGCGGTCTCAGGACGAGCCAAGGCAGCAGCCAGTGTCGCTGCAAAGCCAGGTTGGTAGTCTTCCAAGTAGGTGGTCCGGCGGCCATAGCCAGGAGCAGAACCTTCCAAGGGGCAGTGGTAGTGGTCATGGTCACACTTCAGCTGGAAGGCCTCTAAAACAGCCTGCTTTGTGGTCAACAGGCGAGTGCTCTTTTGGACAGGTCGCCAGATGCCGTCGGTGTCCATGCACATTGCTCAATAGCGGCATTGGTCGAAGTCGGCATAGTAACCAGGAAGATCTCGGAGAGCCATCGTGTTCCAGCTCAAGGCATGTCGGGGCTGCTCCAAGTGGGCATGCCGTGCATTGGTCACCTGTCGTAGGTAGATGCGCTTGGCAAAGCAGAGATGGCGACGATGGTGGTGCTCACGTCGAGCCTTCAAGGCTTCTTGCTGTGCAGGGGTGCGACAAGCCAAGGTTTGCATTCTTGACCACAGGCGGCATTCTGGTGCCACCAGCACTTCATCAGGTTCTTCTTCATCAAGTCGTTGGAGTAGCTGTTGTTGATGGCTGATGAGGTTGAAATCCCAGCCATTGTCCAAAGAAAATCTTTCCACCTTCATGCCAAGCTCCTCTGCGATGTGGCCAGTGCGAGCTTTGCCACAATAGATTTCCCAGAGAACTCGTCGATGGTCGGGAGGATTGTGAAGCTCCTGAGTGATATAGGCTTCGGTGGAGTTTGAGGTAGTGACCAACTGAGTCTCCATGGTTCGAAGGGCATGTCGATGAAGGCAAGTGGATTGCAATTCGCCACCTGCTAGAGCCACATCTTCAGCCTGAAACACATGTTCGAGCTTGTTAAAGTCCTCGAAGTGGAGATGGCTGCCAGGTGTTTCCTCAGCAATGCGAAGGCTGAATAGGGTTTTCGTGGGATCAGGTACTTCCTCCATGCCAGTGGTGAGGCTCAACAAGTACTCGCCATGGCGGCCCACAAGCACTGAGGTCCAAGGCGATTGCCCAAAGCGAATGCGCTTCTGGCTGAAATCGATGCCCATGTGCAGAGCCTCAATCACAGGTCGGCCCATCAACATTGGCGTGTTGCCAGGAACCAGGTAGCATTGGATCGTGCCGAACTGGCCATCGATCATCACCGGGAGATCCACTGTCCATGAAGCTCGTGAGGATGCATCGCCGCCAAAATGGAACTGGCGGTCACATCGAGCAAAGCGGATGGTGTTGATGGGGTAGTTCATGGAGTGCAAGTGGCTCAAATAGCGGCCGAATGGACCATATCCGCACAGGAAGGCAGATGCACCTGGGTCAAGCATGGTGGCATCCGGTCGGTCGGTGCCCATCTCATCCTGGAACAGGACCAAGGCGGTCTCATTCTGCAAGGCCATACCCTCAGTGGGCGCAGGTCTCTTGTTGGACGATGAGGGTGATTTCGCACCTTGTGGACATTGCGCTGCCCAATGACCTGGTTGGCCACAACGAAGGCATGTAGTTGCCTTTGCACGACCTTTTGGATCAGCCTTTCCACCTGAGGAGGGTGGATAGCGCACCACATTCTTTCCTTTTCCTTTGCTTTTGCTCTTACCCTTGCCTTTGTTCTTGCCGGCGCCCTTCGAAGGTGAAGAGGATCCAGAGGCGGGCGAAGCGTTCTGGCCATCAGTGAGGGCGACGATCGGCAGGTAGCCACGAGCCAACTTGAGCTGCTGGAATCTTTGCCGGGCATCCAAGTAGGTGGCATAGGCGTGGTCATACTCTTCGGCCAACTCTTGAGGATCTTCGGACAGGTCATGGTGTTCTCCAGGTTCATCCTCTTCGCCGTAGTAGATGGCGTCATAGTCAAAGTCAGCCTCATCGTCAGGGGCAGTGTCATCATACCAGTCGTCGGCCTCATAGTAGGCGTCTTCTGTCCAGGGTTGCTCGGACCAGTAGGCATCTTCTTCATCGAATGCGGCGTAGCCGCGGCCCTTCCAGCGGTTGAACTTTCGATCACGTTCAGCATTCCAGCCGCCTGCTTTGTAGTCCTGACCGAACAGCAGGTACAGGGCTTCGATGACAGGATTCTTTTCCAACGTAGGAGCCTTCAGCGTCACCATTTGGCGTTGCTCCTTTGACAAAGCAGCACGTCGGAGTAGATGCCATCCTTGAACCTGGACTGGAAGAGTCACATTGTGGGCAGTCAAACGACGATAGGCGGTGTCATGGTCGGTGACGAAGGACAGGAGGCTTTGCTGTGGCTTCCTTTGCAACAAGTTGAAGTACTCCTCAAAGTCATTCGGAAGGAGCACACGATCGTCATACTCGAAGTTCTTGTCGAGCTTGGTGATGATCTTGCTGAAGCCATCCTCTTTCTCAGCCTCTTCAATTGAGAAGTCCTCGAACAACCGCCACGTCACACCCTGAAAACTTCCCAGGATGTTCAGGACGGACTCGGCTGAGCGCTTGCTGATCTTCATCTTGTGGTGGTAGAGCATCAGCCTCTTTCTGTACTCTTTGTAGTCCTGGGGTTGTCCACTGAACAGTGGAACGAAGGAGTCGCGCAGGTTGAGGTAGTCACCATCCTTGGACCCTTCTGCAGCCGATGTCGTTGGTGGCATTCTCAAACAAGTAGCCAAGACCGAAAGGGCTCTTCAACGAGGAAACAAAAGAGCTCGGCCAAGGGTTCGTGACAAAGGACTTATGCAGAACCTCGTTCTTCTTCGCGCAAAGGACTCGGAGCCCCCCGGAGGAGGCTCCGCTACCAATGCGAAAAAGGTAGCAGCGGCACCCGAAGTCCGCAAACACGAAAACAAGAGGGCGCACTGAAGCGCCGCGGCCGCGCCTTTTGCAAGGCAACTGCCCTCCCAGTCTTGAGAGGGAACGACGGTAAGTGAAGGTCGAAAACAGTTCGAACTGCCGAAACACAAGTGCACAGCGTGAACTTTACAATATAAACTATGTATATAGTTATATATATATATATATTTGTTGTTTTTTGCATATGTTTTCAAGACCCTTTCGACTCCTCACATGGACAGTTGAGTGTGGCAGTATGATTAGGACCATTATTCTCCTGCAGGCGTTTCCACTTGCCTGTCCTTTCCTAACCCACGCTGTCCCCTGAAGCATCCTGAAGCAGGGTTCCTAACTTTCGATGAGGGATAGTGAGGTTTTTCACAGCTTGGAGTCGAAGGGGTCGAAGGACTATAGGCACTCGCACATTATCCTTAAACATTAAATATACTAATTAGCAAAATTGCAAATCAAGTGGCCTACCTGCGAAGATCCTGGAGATCAATGCGAAGCCAGGGGAGTCCTACATGTGAACTGCCCTCCCAAAAAGGAAGGAGCATTCTTGTTCCAAGTAGTTTTTTGGCCTCCAACCTACTAGCATCTAGCCACGTTCCCAATTACGACTCAAGAGTGCGCTCCGCGCTGCACTAGGAGACGCCGTGGAGGCGGACTCCTTGCTCCGCGTGCTGCGGAATGATCTCATCGAGGCGAGAAACTGAAGTTGCAGCAGAGAGGGTCGCTTCAAAATAATGACACGGAGAGGTCTTTGGGTATATTTGGGTCTGGCTTTTTTGGGCCAGACTCCCAGTCATTGTAGTGGTTTTGGGCCGGCTTCCGGGGCCGGAAGCCCGGAAGTACCAAGCCGTTGCTTTGTTCAAGACACAGGTGTTTGAAGTGGCAATCATCGAAACATCGCTTGACCAGTTTCACACAAACCTGTCGAGAATGCCAACTCATGCATGAACGCCTCATGATTAGGGAGCCACAACCCCGAAAACAACTTGTTGCAGTACAAATCAGTACGCTCAAGTCGTTGCTCCGCTGGGCCAGGCGCCATTGCCGTTGACTGCCGTGAAGAGCCGCATGGGCTATGCCACTGAATGTGCTGGCATCGCATCCTTGCACCCCTGCATGGTTGGCGAATCATCAAGGAATTCCACGTCCTCCTCATTCAACATATCAATATCAATTACACACATGTATGCATCCCCTTTAACAGAAGGGCGTGGGAATCCAGACTACGCCTGATTTTCGTATAAGTATTTGAGCCGGGACCCATGTCGTGTTGGTGTATTGGGGTTTCTGAATTGGATCCCGGGCATGTTATGTCCTTTGACCTGTTTTGAAAACCCAGGCACCGCCTGCTGCTTTCCGGGGTTTACGGCGTTCTGTCGCCGAACAACCATTTACATCAGCTGAACCCGCACCTGAGCTTTGACAACCGGGGTGCTTTGCTGACTGCAACTTGCCAGCAGTGGAAGCTGAGTCTCTCCTTGGGATTTTCTGACATTCGCATCATTGCAAAACAGCAATTCAATGTTTTGTTTGCGGCTCCTCTTGCACCACATTAATTGCTGCAACTTGTAACATTGTAACAATAGAACGACAATTGAACGCTCAACATGTTCGAGTTGGACAGCTTAAGTGAAGCCATGTGAAGCCGATTGTGGACCATCGACCCATCCAGACTACAGAATCGCCTTGCCGCTGCTGGTTTGCCTTCACTTCCACCCGCTTTTTTCCGCACGCCTAGGAGCCGCTGGAGACCGCCATGGCGAGTAGCTACATGGGGGTTCAGTCGCATGGATTTGGTGGCACACAGGTCCACGTAATTGCCTATGGCATGTTGGAACAGAGCAGGACTGCCATGGCGAAGACATGCGAAGACCTTCACCACCGAGACGCACTGAGATCGATCGATTTGAACGATCGATCGCCTGTTTGCTCAAACACGTTCCTGGAGAATGTGCGATGGATGAATTTTTGATGTTCGCGGCTTACTCCAGCGTGTTCTAGAGCGGATGTTCAAGAGTACGTGCTGTTCGTTCTGGCATCGACCGCCTCCTTTCGTTACTCGGGAATCGGCCGCCTTGACGTGTGAATGCGTGTTATGTGTTTTGTTTTGGTGCATCGGGAGTTGACAGAGTGAAAGACCCCAAGAACGCCCAAGAAAGACCGGCGATTTCAACCAACTACCACCTCCAGAAGGCACGGCCCCCAAAGCACCATGAAAGAGTCGATAGATAATTGACAATATTTAATAGATTTAAATAGTGCCTTATCTATCACCTGAGAAGTGAACGGGTATCACACCTATTGGCTCATTCTAAGCGAAGAACTATGTTGGGTGTTAAACATGTTAAAACGTGTTTGGTGGGCGATTCTTACCAATCATACCCGTGCCAGTCACATCCAGGTCGCCCAAGACCCCTCGAAGATCCGGCTTCAACGGTGAAAGAGCCCGGTCTTCGGATGATTCACTCATTATGAATGGATGTTTCAACCAGTGAAGAGAAAAAAGAGACAGCCGGGCCCACTTCTGATCGTCAATGAGCCAAAGTATGTTCTTTTTATCTTGCAATGCGTTGTTTGTTTGCTTTCCTGCCCATTCAATCCATTTCAATCTAATCATTCTAACTGTACTATGTTGTTTTTTGTGCCCGGTATGTATCATTTGTCCTCCATGCACCCCCATCAATCATTTTCCAACCAAACTGCTTCACAGGACAGCCCCACCTCCAGTGGCAGTGGAACAAAAGCAGAACGTCTTCAATTTCTGGCCGGGTGGTGGCGGTGAGCTAGAAGAGGCCCTGGTCTTGGCCGAGTCAATTTGGCATACCGTGTCATTCCGGGAGAAGAAGCTTCTAACCTAAGCTGCTGCCCTAGTCCCGAGCAGATGAAACCCATGCGTCTCGTGGAGGTTCGGTGGTTCGCCAGGATCAGCAGCCTTCAAGAGGCTACTTCATTGCTGGTACCTGGACCAAGTGGAGAGCCATCAAGATGGAGAACGAAGGTGGGCCGATTCGGCAAACATGTACATTCGGCAGGTTTTGCTGTGCGAGGTTCAGAATCATCCTGCAAGGGAGGGCAGCAAGAAAGCGAGTGACAAGACGCCTGAAACAAGCTGAAATTCGTTGTGCAAGGTGCTGATTTCATGTCGAACGCTCCATTCTTTGGCAAGGCGGTGACAACTTCGGCTACACCATGACCTTGGGAGAGAACCGTTGGGAAGAGCTGCTGGCAGGAGATTGAGCGATTTCACGGAGGGCGGTTGGAAAATGGCGGGAAGGGCCGACAGGGGTTTGAGCGTGCATGTTCCGACCACATACAGGTCCGAACTCCCTCGCAAAGTGGGGTGAGGTCGCATTTTGAGATTTGGATGGGGATATGTCATACTCATTATCAATTACTTGTTCTTGGCCTTGCCAACGGCCTTGCCAGCAACCCAGGTTCCAAATCTATTTGGACGGTCTCTTGGCGGCGGTGAGCAAGGCATTGCGTGCTGACGGACGTGTTTTCTTGGCTCCTGACCCGCATGACCGCATGACTAAGGTGATGAGAAGAGGAGGGGGAGCTTCATGCCCAGCAACGGTTCGTTGTTATGCTGGATGGGTGATAGATTGCCAAGCTGGGCTGGACCCTCCAAAGGCTAGCTGACACAACTTGTTGCCCTCGGCCTCGAATGCCTGGGCGACATCGCAGTGGCAGGAATTTCAGAAGAAACACGTCCAGCAGTCCGGTGTTTGCCCTGTGTGTTGTTCTCCTTGATCTCTTTTGGATCTCACCATTGACACCTGCTGCAGGAGGCTTCACCCAGAGGCTCCACGGGCCTCCAAGGGTGTGCCGGTGCAGGGGCCCGATGAGAAGGCACCGGCACTGCTTGGGGGGGGCAGCACTGTGGTAGGCTCTATATGTCAATGATGGTCAACTCTACTGTTTTGGCCATGGGGGTGATCACGGTGTTTCAAGTTCTGCTATCTCAGAACTTGCTGCAGGGGGCCTTTCCTAAAGGAGTTGAGATTCGTGAATCCTAGCCTTCCGTTCGACGGAAAAAGGCTTCACCATGGCAATGGTTCACCTGGTCTAAATGTCGCACTGGTTGCTCTGTACCTTTAAACTAGTGCTGGTTGGCATCCTGGGGTGAAGGTGTGTCACCAGACGCTTTGCACCTCCTCCTCGACCCGTCGCGCGTCCACCGCAGGCTCGTGGTCTCAACTGGAGGATCGAAGGCGCGAGCGGATGGGAAAAGCAAGGAACTACTGTAGACTGTTGCTCAGAGGGGCCCATTCGGAGCCGGGAGTATCCATATTCCCCATAAAGCAGGAGCGAAGGAAAGTGCCAAGGAGCTGCTGGCTACAGGGAGTTGCTCAACCCCTTGCTAGGTAAGTTAAGAACATACTGCGGGCACATGCGGGCACTGTAGGCTTTGGGCGCATACGGTTCCAAGAACAGGTGTGGGTCAACTCAATAAGTACCTCCCGCAAAGATTCCTGACACGGCAGAAAGTTAGCGTTCTTGCTTCTTCGGTCGGAAGATGTCGGAAGGCTGCCTTGTTAGGTCGGCATCCAGACGAACCAAGTGACGACTTCTTGTGAAGAAACCATCTTGCCCGGGCCATGTGAGGCTACAGACACCTCGTTCCCAGGAAAACTGTCCCACATCCACCGAGTTCGGTCGCATGAATGCGCCGGATGTGGCACGGATGAAACCCGTGCAGGTCGTGGCCAGTGGATGGATTTGCCCAGTGAGGCCGCAGCGTTCTCCTTGGGCAATGCTCAGAAGACCTCCAAGGCCATCCAGGCCGGTTCAACAACTCAAAAAACCTGCAAAATCTTTGGCCAAAAGGTCAAGCATTGTTGTAAGTTCGGCCTCCCATGTCCAAAACAGGCCGTTTGAAACCGCGGAGACACTGGTGCTGTAGCAAGTACTCGTCAGAATGTTGGAATGTCCAGAATAGTCCGGAGATGATGTTTGGCAACTTCATCGCAGAGTGCTATATTCGACATAGCAAGTTATCAGGGGAAGTTACTTCTTGAGATCTTGCAACGTGTTCCGTTTGCACTCTACAGGTGGGGAATCCACCCCGGCAGCAGCTCCATGTTGCCCATGCCGACGTGATGTTTGCAACTTGCACTGCCTAGGCCATTAGCAGCTCGATCAGCGGCACCAAGCATCTTAGCTGCCTTGGTTTGAAAGAAAAGGATGACCTGACGGGAAACGTCCTGAGCTGCTAAGTGCCCAGCCCTGTTGCATTAGATAGCAAGCCGCAGCCACTGGGTGGATAGAGTCGGATAGAGTGTATTTGCCAGATATTCCCAGATGACCAACTTGGTTGTGCTCAAGTGTTTTCCCTATGGCTAAATCCCCTTCCGGTGAGTATGTTTCCAAGGTTTCTTAATAACTAATTTATATATATAGTCATTCATCTTTCTTGTGACTATGTATGTGCTGTCTAGGTGAACTGGCTGTAACGCTGGCTCATGTGTCCGGGGTGCGCTAGGGCGCTGTGACTTCGAGAGCGGAAGCAGGGTGGTTCACGTGTGTTGGAAGCCATAGGGGGCATTGAACATGGCCGGGGATGTATTAGTCAAAGCTGTGGTTTGGTTGACTCCCCTCGCTTCGCTGGACCTGAAGGGGAGAAAGGAAACAAGAGGTTCTTGCGACAGGTAACGACACAAAGTTAGTACTGGGTGTGGCTGTCTTGTTAGAACTCCACGTCATGACTTCAGGGAACACGGACATGACCACCCCCCTACATCGCCCTACACCCCAAAAAAGGGCTCAGCCGGGGACACCTCGGTCACCCCGTGACCTTGCCGTGACCGAACTACACCCGCGACGGAGGCACGCGATCCCCTCGGCGGAGTCGCAACCCTTGGAGTTCGGCTCGGGCGACGTGGGCGTCCCCGGTGACAAGTACCGCATCCGTTTGCGCATCGCCGGACGATACCGAGCCTTGGGTGGACTGGACGGGTGCGAGCGGTTTCGAGTGGTGGCTGGAGAGCTGGGACCATTTGGGTTTGGGGCGGGGAGTAAAAGAATCCAAGGACTTAAGTTGGACTGCACATTTTTTGTGAAGATGCAGCTTCAGAGGAAGATGACGTGGCACAGTTGGAGTACGCTTTTTCGCAGCGGCTCAAAGGTGGGCTCACAGCCAAGCTGCTCCATTGATTGCAACATGGAAAACTTTTCAGCAGAAATCCATACAGAGACCACAAACATCCATTGATTGCACCTCAACACAATCATAATACAACATCCATGGAAATCCTCAGAACCGTCCACTCCATCGCCTCACGCTGTGCCGGCTGTACCATGCCACCGACCGTTGAGCTGGTTCCAGCGCTGCCCACCCAGTGCTGCTGGGCGCTGTGCTTTGGGCCACCGCAGCGCGAAGTCAAAGGCGTGAGTTTTCCATCCTCCGAGGTGGTTGAGATCCCTAAGCTGAGCGAGGATGATCGGGCGATGAAGGGACGAGAACACCAGCTACCAAGATGGAAGATGGGTGGTGAGGTTTGTGAAGAGGGTTGCTGGAGAGCCGCATTGCTTTGAGGAAGCCATTGGAGGAAGTGGGCTAATCATCTACTGTATATGGTCAGTCTTCATTCATGGATGACACTTTCACTTTCTGTTCCTGTAATAAGTTGTGCTCAGGAAACATCGCAAGATATCACGGGACACCCTTTTTGGCAGTAGACAAGCCTGGCAAGCAGCGGCCAACCTGCCGAACGGCTCTTTTGGACGAGCGAATGAGGGTACTGCTCCCCAACGTGTCCGAGCCACCGCTCCCCAACAAACAGAGAGCACCCAGCCACCACACTCAAAACAAAGAACTCAGAAGAATGGCTTTCACCCAGTTCTTCGAAATCGGCCTAGACGACCACGGACGACTGATTCGCTCATCGCGCTGATCGATCGATCCGATCCGATCCCGTTCTCAGGTTTGCGGTGGATTGCCGCGAGCTCCTGGACTCCCAGAAAACCACCTTCACCATCCGGGGCACCACCGACCACGAGGACCGCACGGCGCTCTACGAGGTGAAGATGGCGCCGGGCGGCATGCTGGAAATGGGCAAGGCGAAGCAAGTGCCTGGGACGAAGGCGATTTGATGGAGCGAGTGATTTTTGATGCTCCATCACAACTTGAAGCACCACTGGTTCCCAGGGCTGGTTTCAGCTATTTGGCTTGTGTGCACCGGCCCACTCACATATATGAAAAACACATAGGGAGACTGCGCCGGCAGACTAGGGCCACTGGTCGAACTGTTCATCTCTTTTCCGCACCGTACGGGCACCCTTCACCTATTCCAACACACGGTGGATCTTGACCTTGAGGAGTATGAAATATACCTGGATCTTCCAACTGTGACAGATTTCTGCCTGTTCATCCATAAAGAACAGCCCAGTTAGGCAGACATGTGGGCATGCCGTTGGAAGATCCAGATATGTTAGAGCATCCATTGTTTGTCTAGGTCGGGTGTCGCATCTCTTTCCCTGCGGATGGTGTCGCCTCAGATCGACTCCTTGAGGCCCCAGAGCTCTTCCTGCGCGCCAGCAGCGGAGAGAAGCGCCTGGTGACGTTGATGGATGGAAGGGGCTCTTACTTTGGGAAATTGGTGCCCAAAGGCCGGGCGGTGGTGCTCTATTACATGCAGTGCCCTGGTGCCAAGTTTTAGTTTCTTTTTGGTGTTTTTTTTGTTGTAGTTGTTTCATGTTGTGTCATTTTGTTTTTAGGGGGGAGCAGATGCGCGATGATTTGCAGGTGACACCATGGAGCAAACAGCAGGTTTGATGCAGGGTGTTCGTAGAAGTTGAAGTGTGCCACTTGCTGCCGTTGAACTTGGTTCGTTTTCAACTTGTGTGTTCCTTTATGCCAAATGAGTACCCGACAGAATTACTGTGAGTCAGCAGAGTAGCCTGGACATCGTTCTTTTTTTGGGTGATTTGACTGCAAAACCGATAGGGGTCCACCCAAAACCGATACCCTCTAACATGGGCGATGGCCTACCCAAAACCGATACCCCAAAGAGTTGTAGCTGTATAAGAAAACCTGAGACCGATAGGGTACCACCAAAATACATGTAAAGAGATGCCAAAACCTGAAAACCGATAGGGGCCAACTCCCACCCAAATTATAAACGTCCTTTGCGGGTAATACGTAATATTGTCCGACACTCAAATGTGAAACAAAATGTCCTGCAACGGGCCAAGGCATATCATAACATAATAGCATTCCTAGTGCAAATGGTTGGTCAGCCGCAACACTCTGACAACCGCTCCTAAACGTCCCAAGCCTTAGAGGCCTGTGATGGAGTGGGCATTAACCCCCTCATTCCATGTGTTTTATTGTGCGTGTGTGTCTTTTCTTCAGTGTTGGGAGGGTGGATCCATTGGTTCCAGTGAGAACTTGGATGAGTCCCAGGCAGCCTTGTGCATGCATCATACCGCGCGATACCTCAAGCCTGAGCATGCAAGTGTATCCCTTGCTGGACGGCATCCAGAACATGTTAGTGGCCTCCAGCATCCGAAAGGGAAACGTCTTGAGAATCCAGGTCTCAGCGAACTTCGACGGATGTCTTTTCCTTGGTTGCCTGTTGGGCATCATTCTGCTAGAGCCAAGCTTCATGCAGCTGGCAGGCTAAAGTGCATTGCCTTCTTGCTTTGCTTTGGAGGCTCTCTGAAGTGCCTCGCAAAAAGGCGCCATGCTGCACAGCGACAAGTGTTTCGAGGTGTTGGCACATGTTGGCCGGTACAACTCCGAAGGAGAATGCCGAACTCCACATCCCTCGAAACAGAGCTTCCAACCTTGACATGCTTGATAAATGCCCCAGGTGATCAGTGAATAAAAGCACAAGATGGGCACATCACCAAAGGGGGGTCCCAAATATGTTTTGATTCCATATACAGTACAGTAGATATGGTGTCTTTACTATAGCCAGTCCCAGGCCCCTTGATGAAGGAACATATACATCTCCCACGCCATGATACTGTTGAGATGAGACCGTTTTGTTGCGGAAGCAGAAAGGTGTGACCAAGAAAAAGGCCCAGCTCGTTCATCGTTCAACCGGTGTCGGGTGCGCTGGTCAGCAGTTCGTGCGACTCGTTCCGACGTTCCAACGTCTCTCAGGAACGGTCTTGTGGGAGAAGTTACCCACGGAGGACCATGACACCTCCTACGAAGCCCCAGAAGGCGGAAACCGTTGACCATGACTCCACCTGCCGGTGCGCGAGTGATGCCGGGGTGGAGGATGGTGAATGATGGATGGTCAACTGGGTTCAACATATCTTGTGGCACACAGGGGCACTGGTGGCGGGTTTTGGCATCCCAGATGCGCCATACAGGGCAAAGTCCATCGCCACAAAGCTGCGTTGAACTGTGTTGACATGTCAGCTTCACTGGGCAAAGAGTTGGTTTACCTAGAGGAGTATGCAGATGGAAAATGCCTTGGAAGCTAGGTCATTGCCCGGCCAAATGGCACAATACAGGCAAAGCAGCCCACGAGATCCCTATATATATATAATAGACTCTCCACCTAACATGCTGGCTGAAGCATGTCTAAGCCGGAGCGGCCTGTGATTCTCACATGTTCTGGAGCGTTCTCATATGTTCTCATCAAGCTAGGTTGAAAACATTTGAACACCATTCGATCTAGCATGCACACAATATATATATATACACATGAAATTGGAGGTCAGATAGAGTGTACAAATCGGAGGCACAACCCTAAACTTTGAAAGGTTGTTGCTGGGACAGGTTTGTCTCCTGGTGACGTGAACCGCACCTTGGGTCAGGTTTGGGTCAGGCTGGTGTCTAATTATTGGTCAATTGTTTTTAATGTGGCCGTATTCCTGCACGAATCTTGGCTAGGATTCCTAATGGCCTGGAGTATGACGTATGTGGTGGGGCTCTCTATTCCAGGGCGCCTGGCAGCCCCAAAAGACCTACCTGCAGCATCCGCATCAGGCGACTACTTCATCACTGGGAGCTGGAACCAATGGGCGGCTGATCATATGTCCCTGCGCAACGAGAGCTGGTCGATCGAGGCCAAGGAAAACCGGGAATCATCAAAGAATCGGCCAATGACCAATCAGAGGGTTGTGAGGGTTTGGGGGCACACATTGAGACGGTCGATGTGCATGTGGTCATGGAATGTCATGGATGGTTTTTCTTCTTTGGACCTCCCAAAGTGAGCGTTTCACAGAGGCTTGGGCGCAACCTAGAATGCAGGAGTGTGCCAAATTTTGAGGTGGGAAGGTCAAATTATATACCTTCTAGGGCATTCCAGCAAGGAGCAATACACTAGTCAGCAGTTGGCGTTCCAATCCTTTGCCACGGTCGACGAGGGGTTGGAGCATGTTTCCGTTGCGATCGCCGCTTTAGCACCGTGTTTGTTGCAAGACACATGTTCACGATCATTTTGGACTGCTAGATGGGTACATATGGCACATTGAGATCACTTTGTTGGGATTGGTGTTTGCTTTTGTTGATGTTATGTTGTCCAGGTTTTGTGGAGAGTGCCATATATATACCCTTAGCATCAAAACCCTGAAAAAATGACGGGTTCCGATGGATACCTCGGGTTTATACACCACACCAATAAAGAACCAGGGTGTCTATCCAAAACATCGGGTGTGTATTCAAAACCCCGGGTTTCCTGCCAACCGGCAGCCAGGCAGCGATTAAACGCTCTAAGTCTTGACTTGACCAGGACAACCTGGTAAAAACCCAAGAA